TGGCAACCTGAACTGTGACTCGCATTTGGATTCGGACCTCGCTCTGTATTCACGTGTTCTTGACTCTATGTTCATCCAGTAGTGTAGCATCATATCTCATATCTCATGTACATAAGAAATTAAACATTAAGATTTTTTTGTATGTAGTCTGGTTTTGTATTGTAAGATAATTAATTACAAAAGTAGTGTTGCAAACTGGTGACCCAAATGTGATCTAAATAATTGATCACTATCCTTGATTTATGCATCCCCTATGCTCTCTACCTGATGAAGGACTCTACAGTACAATATGAAAATTTCATCCATTTGCATTGGATACAAATGTTGGACTTTCATCTCTTTTGGAACTGTCTACTCATTCATCTAGACCAGTGTTTCTCAATGGGGGCGCTATCTCCCCCATGTGGGCGTTTTTCCACGTTGAGGGGCGATTAGTAACAACTTATATTTAGGGGGGTGAAAAACAATTTTCTGGGCGATATAATAAAACATTAGATTAAGAATAATTAGATATTTTATTCATTATAATGTACAATAATTAAATAAATAACATTATACTAGTCACTAGTCTATTCAATGTAGTACGAATTTGGCATTAGCCTTGGCCCTTGGCATCGGAATTTTGAAGTAAAGGGGGCGATACTATGTAACGGTTTTATTGAAGGGGTGATACTACATTAAAGGGGGGGCGACGATTTATTAGAGGTTGAGAAACACTGATCTGGACCTTCAAAAAGTGTAACCATGGATATTTTTCGTTGACTGTTCAACGGAAAGGTATAGTACGTGCCATCCTTCTTTGTTCTTGTGCCACATGCTGAACTATGCATGCATCACGTCAAATACCTATGTCCACCTTTGTACTGCCACAACTATGTTCAAAGCATGGCTAAGGCAGAAAATAACGGATGATCACCGTAATGTAGCACACATTGCAATCAGACCCCCACCTTTATGGAAGAGCAACCCAAGCTTATGGTTCACTCAGCTAGAAGTGCAATTTTCCATTACCAACATAACCATCAGCAACACAAAATTTAAACAAATCATTGTGGCAGTAGAGCCCGAAATTTTAAATTTGGTGCATGATCTAATCCTCAACCTGCCAGACTAGCATAAATTTGCTACTCTAAAGGCTTGTCTGATTGACATCTATTCAGAGAGCGAGACCTTCAAAACCAGAATGCTTTTTCAAGGGTTGGAGCTGGGAGACCAATATCCATCCATCAAATCCATTCTTTTAAAGTGTGATGAGTTCTTTACAGCAATTTTGTGCTTTTTTCTCAATGAACATAGAAAGAACAAGAAGAAATCAAATACAGTGGAACCTCGGTATACGTCTGCTTTAGAATACGTCCAATTCGGAATACGTCCTGTTTGGATGAAACAAATTTTGCTTGGTATACGACTTTTGTTCGGTATATGACTTAATTCAATTATAAGCGCCATCTATGAACAAGTAGCACTATCGGTGTACTAGACCAGATTAGACGTTCCTGGTGCCACTGTATATAACTTTGTTAAATTTCTTCTGATTTTAATTTGTAAGTAACATTTTATTATTTTTATTAATCATGAATTGCAAAAAGGCAACAGAAAAATAAAAAAATGACAATGGAACTGAAAAAAGAGAATGTTGAGAAATATGAAGGTTGCACGCGTGTTCCAGATTTAACTGTTGCATTCTATATTCCGAGAACGACGATATTGACAATCGTGAAAAATAAAGACATTATTAAATCTGCTAACGTTGCGAAAGGGGTTAAATCAATTTCTAAACAGAGATCGAAGACATTAGATCGTGTTGAGAAATTGCTTTTGCTTTGGATAACTGAAAAATAGTGCGCTGGCGACAGCGTATCGGAAGAAATTATTTGCGAGAAAGCTAAAGGGATACATGCTGATCTCATGAAAAATCAAGCAGGAACTAGCGAGGAAAGCGAGGTGTTTAAAGCCAGCATTTTTTTTACATGAGAACGGATTAATCATTTTTACATTACTTCTTATAGGAAAGGTTGGTTTGATATACGTCCTATTCGGTATAAGTCCAAATACCTAGGAACGGATTAAGGTCGTATACCGAGGTTCCACTGTATTAAAATATATATTCTGTATAAAGTAATTTATTAATAAAGTTTTATTTTAATTTAATAATATAAAACTCAAAACAGTCAGGAAAACATATATGATTATACAAACTTTTAACAGAGGAATCATTCTGTATGAAATCTAGAAGTTTAAATCCTATAAATATAGTATTTATACATTTGTTTTTTTCCTATTTGTGATAAGTTTTACATTTATATAGCCGTGTAAATCTCTATCTTATCATATTATTTTTAAATAAATAAATTTAGTATAGTTTATGAGAAACACATTATCAACATGGATAAAAAATAAGTTGTTCATCTTTAGGAAAAAGAAAAAAACTTATTTTTAATACAAAAAAATCCTTAAAGGTTTAAAGATTTTTTGTATTGATAAATGTGTCCTGGCCATATTTTTATATTAAAAACAAACTTGCTCTGTTTTTCTCTCCACTGCTATTTTACCATTGGCAGCAAAACATCATTCTCTACCCTGCTATCATTTGTATTTTCAATGTTAAAACTGGATATTCTATAGATTACTCCTTATGGAATTTCGGGACTGAGTATATATTTGAACTCACGAGTTCAACGATACTCTACTTTTGGACCAGAGACCAAAAATAAGAAAGTTAACATACTTATGATTTCTTGTCTTTCACAATGCATTCTGTGCCATTTTAGAGTTTTCTACTAGGTGGCACTGCTTGTAGTTCAGTATAGCTTTCCTGTTTTTTCTTTTGTTCAAGAACTTCTCTGAACCAATAACTAGTGATGTTAAACACTCAGCAGCCTTCAGTGGCTCCCCTCCAGGAGGAGTCTGTCAGGAGCATGAACGGTCGAATGCCACCTAGTGGAAAACTCTAAAATGGCATAGAATGCATTGTGAAAGGCAAGAAATTGTAAATATGATAACTCTTATTTTTGGCCTCCGGTCCAAAAGTAGGGTATTGTTGAACTTGTCTTGGTCCCCTGAGTTCAAATATACACTCAGTCCTGAAATTCCATAGTGAGTAATCTATAGTACAGCCTTAAAATTTTTAAAATGGCTGACAAATACACACCTCAAAAGGAAAAATGTTCTGTCAAAATGTCAGTCATGTGTGTAAAAATACAGATAGAAGGAATCATGCCAGTTCCATTTTTGTATTGTTTACAATGTCATTGTCTTTCATTAATCAAATGCTTTCTTAAACTAATTGAAATTATAGAATCTTAAATAAAATTTCTTTTTGCAGAAAATTTTTATAAACTATATTAATTGGTTTCAGATGAAAATATTAATAAATTAATGTTTGAAAATATGTTAAAATAACTTTTAATTATATTTTTGTTAAAATTAATATTGTTAAATTCTAAATTATTTTGTTCAGACTTTTTGTAGAAATCCTAGAGGGGGACAAATATTTTTTCCCTTTTCGTTTTCTATTTTTGACTCTCTATTCTGGAGGCAGTAAGAGAGTGTTTTTCTGGGGCCACTCAATGTTTGGCCAAATCTACAGTGGAATGACCAGATAGAAAAGAATAAGCCTGATGTATTTGAGACAGACCAACCTTGAAAAATTTCTGGGGTTCTCTTTTAAATTTGATTTCAAGTTTCCCACAGTGGCAGGTGATGCTTTTACTACCTTGTTGTCCAACTGACGAGGAACATATTTTTAAAAATATAGTACTAATGCACTTTGGTGTATTTATAGGGCCCAAAAAGTAGAAAAAGTTATCTTTGCTACTGATATCTTTAGAACTGGTGCTTTATATTGTTCCTTTTAACCCTTCAATGGGCGCCCCCGCGGCAAATTGCCGCAAAATAATAATAAATTCGTTTGTTTAACGTTGTACTTAATTATTGTGGAAATACGTCATAGTATTTTCTCTTCATATTACAAGTTACAATTTATCTTTGAAATCGGGTCAGTTATGCTAACCGTTTAGCTGTTACTGAACTTTGAATCAAGTCGTACCTAATTTGCGTTGTAACTGCCGCTACGCGCCCTGTCATGTAACTAAAATATCAGTATACGTTTATATATATGTGTTTAATGTTTTTAATAAAGTAAGTCAATATTTGCAAGTTTATTAAATAAATATATTAAATTAACACTATTGTAAGTTTCAATAAATTTTTAAATTTATATTAGTTTATATTTTTCAAAAATATAAGGGAAACAAAGAGCAATCCAAAGTAGCGGCAGAAACCTAGAATTTGTTTTATTTGTGGCATACTCAAAAACAATAGGAAAAAATCAATTTGTCAGAAATGAGTAGAAATATTTGCAAGAAGAATCGGAATATGGTGATTATATGTGCCATGTGTGAAAGTGAACATCTCATGAATATATAGTGACTATTTTTATTATCTAAATATTTTATAAACAATTTGTTCGTTAAAATGCCGTAAAAATAGTTTTCTGGTATATCTGAATCATATTTTCAAAACGATAATTAATTATTGACTTAAATCAAGTAATATTACATATGCGGTGCAATTGATGCGATGCGCCCTCTCGTGAGATCCTGAAAGGCGCGTTCCCCGAAGGGTTAATGTCTTTAAATCTCCTATTCAGAGACAAAAACAATCTGTCTTATAGTTCTGTTTTGTCCTGTGGTGCAATGCCAAGTGCATTTATTCTCTTTGTTCTTTTGATATAACAGAAAAGATAAATATGGGTCCAAGACACCAACATCATGAAAATTAAGTTGCTCACATACAATAGTATTCCCCCTGATCAGATACAACATAAAGTAAATGTATAATTATTACAGTTTATTTTCCTTATAAGATAATTTATAATTGACTATAATTTATTCTTAAACTGATAATTATCTATAATTTTTGTTTTTTAATAGAAAAGTATATAAAGATAAGTTGCTTTATAAATATATTAATATATTAAATATTTAAAATCTTTACAGAAAACAGTGATATAAACAACAACTTTTTACAAATAATGAATGAAATTGGAGGATGGCCTCTTACCAATGAAAGTTGGCAACCATCTGAAGATGTTTATAAATATATAGCTAATGCTATATCAATACTAAAGATTGAACCGTTATTTAAAATTGATGTAAAACCTGACGACAAAAATACAACATTAAATATTATCAGTGTAAGTGTATTTTTCAGATTGTAAATGTAAATTCTTATAAATTACATTATAATATTTTCTGTGAATTTCTACATAGACTGTTATATGAGAATTTTTGCTTTTTGTGAATATTCTTGCTTCTTGTCTGGATTAATACCTCCTGATGTAGCCCAAATTTGGCTGATTTGCACAGACTTATCACACATTGTAGGCTAAATGATGAAATGGAGTTAGAGATCAGGTTCAAAAATATATTCTTTATTAGTATTGGAAATGTATTTTCGACTTAGTCCTTCATCAGTCCAAACAATAAGCATAGATGACTAAATCATATAATATTACAGAAAATTATTTTTAAGTTACATGATATTTCAAATTATTTATCAGACATTTAAACCGTACCTATAAGGGAAATTTCCAAAATTTACAACTTTTCAGTTGCTCTCATTGAACTGGAAAAATTTCTGTCTTTATTACATCTAATATTATGAAGAAATCAGTCCCCTCGGCTAGAGATTGGTACATTTAAGCTTTTGTTTAAATAAAATTCTGGCTCTTTCAGCAGGTTTTATTTAGGTCCCTAATTTCCTAATCTCTTAATTATTTAACTGCTTCTTAAGTAGAAATAAGTTGAAACTAGTTACTTTGAACTTGAATATTTATAGTCTTGGGAAAAAAGTGGAAAGACAAATTTTTATGACAACAGATACATAAATCGTAAATTTAAGGAAAATAAATTCTAGAGCTTTTTTTGTACCTCATGCATCTCATTCATTAAATTTGGTTGCATTTACAACCAAATTTAATGAATGCTTCCAAAGTAACAGTTAATTTTTAACATTGTACAAGAATTGTATGCGTTTTTTTTCTATATCCTCTTATAGATGGGAATACGAAATCGTAATATCACTAGTTTAACATTGAAATCTGTAAGTAATTCAAGATGGGAGAGCAGAATAAAAGCAGAATAAATATATGAAATATTTTAATGGATTTTTTTTAAACTCCTGTCAACTATACAGAACTATGATAAAAGCATACCAGTAAACTCCTATTGGTTGGATTAAGTTATAAATCTACTCGCAATTCACATAATGGGGCGATTCACATAATAGGCCGCCATATATCTAGCAGGCAGGCGGCTAACAGCCCAGAACCAGTCCTGGATAGAATCATAAGAAGCATTTTAGTGTATAGCTTCCACCAGCTAAACTGCATGAGGTTGGTGCTCTGTAAAGCGCATGTGCAAATGCATATAATCTGGCTGCTTGGAAACTGACCTAGTTTTGACAATACAGCACTTCCATTCCATCACTGATATTCGAATATACGATAGCAATTTTATTGTTTTTTTTTCACATGTAGTGTAGAAATTTGTAATAAGATACATAATGCAGTTATAATAAAAAATTAATTTTAATTAATCCAAAGTACATTAAAATATGAAAATAATTGTGCAATATGTATTTATATTTTAGAAAATACAAGGGAAGCGGTGCTTCCACTGGTTCCAAGGATGGCATGCCACTGATGTAATATTATCATGATTTCAGAAGTCAATATGCAGCATTATCATTTATTCCAAAATCTTTNATTCAGTTGGGATGCTTATTTTTTTTTCTCAATTTTTATTAGTTTCACTTCTGTTATTATTGCAATGATTGAAACTGCTGAATTTTTGACAAGACAATGTCTCGTTTCTAAAATTGCACTGCTGTCATTGTCTGGACACCTTAGAGGCATGAAAGAGTACCTGTCAGGAGTTGCAATTTGGCACAGAGTATTTGGTGTCCAAATCATGTGCACATAAAAAAAAACCAGACTTGTAGGTAGTCAGGAGACTGAGAACCAATTGAAAACAAAATATGAAATGCCGAGACTGTTTCTACAAACAGGCACAAGTGCAAGATTTGCACATGCTCTCTGAGACATAGTCTCATCCCAAAAATGGTTTTGCCATTTTATACACTAATCCATCTGTCTTCCATATGGACCATATGTCTGATTTTGTATTATATATAATGTAAAATAAACACACATACAAAATTAGACAAAATTATTCTGATCTGAAGATCTGTTTATAGATTGAAAATATTAACCCGAATTTGTCAAATTAAATATTAATGGAAATTAGTTAAGGCTCCTTGGTGGATGTATTTTTTTGATGATTTAATTAATAGCTTTACATCCAAAAATTCCAACTATTTGAATTCATTTGTGTTAAGAATGGCATTATATACTATTACTAAAGATCATTTTTGGCAATTGTTTCAAGTTTACTATTCTCATTTTTATAGTTAAATTTTTCTGATTTCAAAAATTCTAATGCTATAAATTAATTGTGGTACATGTACATAAAATTTTAAAAACTGACAAATTCTTATCTTTTAAAACTTTTTCCTATACTTTTAAATGTTTGTTGAATGCTAAGTAAATTAAGTTTTTTTATTAATAAAGTTTAATTTAATACCTATATATTTTTATGTATCTATGATAAAATATATTTTTACTTTTAGATTTCTCAGCCTGAACAGATAAATATATCCGATGTGATAATATTTTTAGAAAAGTCAGTAAAAATAAATATAACAGATTATAAGAATGATATAGAAAATATGAAGAAATTAGATCAAATAATTAAGGTAAGTCTTTAACATTTTAGAAATTGTTTTAGTTTCTGATTTCGTAATGTTTAAATATTAAGAGTTTATTATTAATAAAACACACCTTTAATAATCCAGCTAATAAAAATTAATAATATAATAACGTTTTCGATCATTTCTCTACAACTAATAGAAGATCTCAAAAACATTTCTTTAATGGACGATGAATATATGACGGTCTTGACTTTAAGTTGATGTATCCATCGATAAAATTGTCTCCTCGCTTCTGCGCATTAAGAGATTTTTTATCTGCTAATGTTGAAAATGCGACACGTCATCACAATCAAATACTAGAACTTGCATACCTAGTGTGTTATACATCGTTTTTTGAGTTTTAGAACGAATTATATTTGCAGGGAAGAGGCATACCGATGGGTAGTCCCACATCGGCGATTCTATGCGAGTTGGTCTTACGGCAACTCGAAAACAAAATTCTACCCGAATTCCAACACCTTATCATTTTGTACGCCAGATACGTCGACGATATATTCATCTTGTGGCAACGAAAACCTAACCTACAGCAATTTTTGGATAGGATCAATAATAACCCTTACGGTTTATTACCACAAGTGGACCAGGAGAGTGATAGTATTGTAAATTTTTTGGACATTTCCATCGCTTGCAGACAGGGAGAAATCAAGACCGGCATATACAGAAAACCATGCTATCAACCCACTTTAATTCCGCATAATTCAATCGATCCGCATCACATCAAATTGGCAGCCTTTAGGTCCTGGATAANTTTTTTTTTTTAATTTTTTTTTCTCAATTTTTATTAGTTTCACTTCTGTTATTATTGCAATGATTGAAACTGCTGAATTTTTGACAAGACAATGTCTCGTTTCTAAAATTGCACTGCTGTCATTGTCTGGACACCTTAGAGGCATGAAAGAGTACCTGTCAGGAGTTGCAATTTGGCACAGAGTATTTGGTGTCCAAATCATGTGCACATAAAAAAAAACCAGACTTGTAGGTAGTCAGGAGACTGAGAACCAATTGAAAACAAAATATGAAATGCCGAGACTGTTTCTACAAACAGGCACAAGTGCAAGATTTGCACATGCTCTCTGAGACATAGTCTCATCCCAAAAATGGTTTTGCCATTTTATACACTAATCCATCTGTCTTCCATATGGACCATATGTCTGATTTTGTATTATATATAATGTAAAATAAACACACATACAAAATTAGACAAAATTATTCTGATCTGAAGATCTGTTTATAGATTGAAAATATTAACCCGAATTTGTCAAATTAAATATTAATGGAAATTAGTTAAGGCTCCTTGGTGGATGTATTTTTTTGATGATTTAATTAATAGCTTTACATCCAAAAATTCCAACTATTTGAATTCATTTGTGTTAAGAATGGCATTATATACTATTACTAAAGATCATTTTTGGCAATTGTTTCAAGTTTACTATTCTCATTTTTATAGTTAAATTTTTCTGATTTCAAAAATTCTAATGCTATAAATTAATTGTGGTACATGTACATAAAATTTTAAAAACTGACAAATTCTTATCTTTTAAAACTTTTTCCTATACTTTTAAATGTTTGTTGAATGCTAAGTAAATTAAGTTTTTTTATTAATAAAGTTTAATTTAATACCTATATATTTTTATGTATCTATGATAAAATATATTTTTACTTTTAGATTTCTCAGCCTGAACAGATAAATATATCCGATGTGATAATATTTTTAGAAAAGTCAGTAAAAATAAATATAACAGATTATAAGAATGATATAGAAAATATGAAGAAATTAGATCAAATAATTAAGGTAAGTCTTTAACATTTTAGAAATTGTTTTAGTTTCTGATTTCGTAATGTTTAAATATTAAGAGTTTATTATTAATAAAACACACCTTTAATAATCCAGCTAATAAAAATTAATAATATAATAACGTTTTCGATCATTTCTCTACAACTAATAGAAGATCTCAAAAACATTTCTTTAATGGACGATGAATATATGACGGTCTTGGACTTTAAGTTGATGTATCCATCGATAAAATTGTCTCCTCGCTTCTGCGCATTAAGAGATTTTTTATCTGCTAATGTTGAAAATGCGACACGTCATCACAATCAAATACTAGAACTTGCATACCTAGTGTGTTATACATCGTTTTTTGAGTTTTAGAACGAATTATATTTGCAGGGAAGAGGCATACCGATGGGTAGTCCCACATCGGCGATTCTATGCGAGTTGGTCTTACGGCAACTCGAAAACAAAATTCTACCCGAATTCCAACACCTTATCATTTTGTACGCCAGATACGTCGACGATATATTCATCTTGTGGCAACGAAAACCTAACCTACAGCAATTTTTGGATAGGATCAATAACAACCCTTACGGTTTATTACCACAAATGGACCAGGAGAGTGATAGTATTGTAAATTTTTTGGACATTTCCATCGCTTGCAGACAGGGAGAAATCAAGACCGGCATATACAGAAAACCATGCTATCAACCCACTTTAATTCCGCATAATTCAATCGATCCGCATCACATCAAATTGGCAGCCTTTAGGTCCTGGATAAAAAGGGCTTATACACATTGTTCTAGTATAAAAGACACGATGGCAGAGCTAAACTACATTCTAAAGATTGCGGAACAACAGGGATATCAAAAGGAAATCATAAAGAATCTTATTACAACCTTCCGAACAACTAAACAATGACATCTCGCAGTAGACCGTAGACAAAAGATGGTTTTAAATTATGTCCCGTTTTTGAGACAAATACATAAAGAAACGGCCAAAGGCTAATGATTTCGGTGTAGTATATCGACGCAATCCTACAGTTTTCAAGCTATTAAGAAACAATGAGAAGCATTATGACTGGAAATTGGCATCAGGAATCTATTCTATACCATTACACAATCAGCATTTTAATTCGGATCTTGTCTACGTAGGTGCAACAATGCGCAAATTGTATATTTATGCTCAAAGAGCATAAATATATGATTAATAAGAAACTTGACAACACCGTGCTATCGTCTTACGCAACGCAACATGACATTCAAGTCCATTGGGATCAGGCGAAAATTATTAAACCTACGACAAATTTACATACAATGAAATATCTGGAGAAATTAGAGATATTTAAAGCACACAAGAAAACTGGTTGCATCAATCATAGAGATGCGGACTCTTTACCTACCGCATAGCGATCCTTTTACAAGAATTAATGACTTTATTTATTTTTATTTGTTAAGGGACATTTTTTTGAATTAATTTTTATTTTTCATTTATTTTTATCTACTTTTCCGTTATTTATATTTTAATTTTGTATTTACGTTCTTTTTTGTGTTCGATTTTATTCTATGTTATGGTAACTGAAGAACGATCGAAAACATTATTATATTATTAATTTTTGTTAGCTGGATTATTAAAGGTGTGTTTTATTAATAGTATATTTATCCAGTTCGTTCGTTATATATAAGTATTAAGAGTTTCTTATTATGCAGCTTCTAGCTGTTAACTTCTTTCATTCATTATTTACAGAAGTTAACTCCTTTTAAATTTAGAATTTACTGGGTGCTTTTAATTAAAGTATGCCTATTCAATGTTGTCTAGAGAACTATTCAGCAGCCAAATTTGGTATTGTAACATTTCAGGACATGCAGAAGACATTAAAAAATACATACTAAAACTCAGCACTTTGGTACTGCAAGCAACAAATATTTTATTTATACAAGATGCTCATGCTATATGAAGACCTTAGAAATGCAGAGGTACAACTCAATGTGATCCCCATTCTGAAGATATAAACCTAAAGGCAATAAACAGTGTTCAATGATTGACTATAATTTATTCCTCAAGGTTTGATGCTCTTCACAAGCAGTGTGATACTGTTTCTAGACTGCCAAATTTGACACTTAAAAAATGTTCTTGATAAATCACATTTTTTAAGTGTCTTCATAAGCAGAAATTAAGATCTAGAGAACAAAGTGGCCAGATAATAGGAAATGTGACTAATAATTTTGTTATTGTGATATGTTCAGAAACTGCCATATGCAGTATCCAATATGTGAAGGCAATCCATCTTGCATAAAAGTGCACTCAAGACATTGTTGTTTCGCTTGGTGTTCGACAAGTGTTGAGCACCTACCAATATCTCTGAGTTGTTGTAGAGCATGTCACTAATAACTTTGAAAAAAAAATCCAAGAATAAACCTGGTTATGAATTTAACTAGACTAGGGATGGGCAACCTGCGCCCTGCATTAATATTTTTTGTAGCCCTTGTCACATAAAATATGAATAAATATATTAATTTCCCAGCTTAAGGAAGTATGCAGTAAAAATTCAAACGTTATTTTCTACAACTTATGTATGTGAATAGTTTTTCCTGCAATGAATTTAGTAAAAATTAAAACAAGAAACTGGCTAACAGACACATTGAAACTAATTTAAAGCTAGCGGTGACTAATGTTTAACCAAATAATTTCTGATATATTACGTTTACATCAGTTCTAGAAGCTAAATTAAGTATACCTATGCTAATTTATAATTATAGGTGAATAAATAATTGTGATTTACTGGCATTTTTCTTCTCTTTTCTCTGTTATGCAACCTGCATCATTTCAAAAGTTTCAAAATGTAGCCCTTACATAGAAAAAGGTTGCCCATCCCTGAACTAGACTGTGATTTTGGCCAAGTGCAGTGGAATCTGCTGGAAAACAAGAGGGTGTAGTTCTAATAGATCACCAAGGCGATCCAGAACGTGATGTGGGTAAGAATAATTGAGGACTGTATAACGAAATTTAGAGAAAAAAAAACCTTTATATATATATCAAATTCCCTTTCGCGTTGACACAATAAGTACTATAGAGCATGAGCTATCGGCTTGTAACAATCTCATACAACTTTCGTTTCTTTAATATTACACTCACTTTCGAAGTTAGTGAATACTGATATCAAATCGCTCACAATGAATGTTACAGACGAATGAATGTTACATAGCAGATCCACCACCCCGACATTTCATATAGGGCAGTCTCCTTTGTGAGTAGACATCCGATTGGAGCTGCGACCACGTGGAAACAAAAAAAATCCTCCTTGGACTGAAATAATGGGCCACGAAAAACAGTTTGATGATGTTCTTTTACCCAACCTTAGTCAGATAATTCCCCCGACGCATACCAAGTCCGATGTAACCCGATTCCTTCACTTACTTAGTTCAATCCGCTCTAAATTGCCAGTTCTTGTCCATATCCGGATCGAGTCCTGACTTCCTTCGTCTTCCCTTCCGCCGTCCAGAAATCACACAGAAGCAAGCCAAACTCCTCTTTCATCTCAGGTCGCCCTTTTTATAACTTCCTATAAGCTCCTCCCTTCACCTCCACGTGGTCACCAAAGGGGCCAATCAAGGCGCCGACAAAATCCACCATAAGGTGGCACGCGATACAAAACTTTGAAAAGAACAAAGAACCCGAACAAAGGTGTGACAACACATGGTATATAATTAAAAAAAATAATAATAATACACGTGCCTAGCACTACAAGGGCTTTCTATGCAACAGGAGGGCCAAAAATGACAGTGGAACAGTGAATACATAATTAAGGTGAAACCTGTTTTGTTGCTCTACAGCAGTGTTTCCTGACCTTTTTTGTGCTATGCCACACCTAAGCCTTTCTAAAATTCTTATGCCCTCCTAACATATATAGTGGCTATACAGTTAACTTAAACTCTGGACGAGTCCATTTTCGAATTGCCCCACTTAACAATCCAGTTGCCCCCCTGTGGGGCCGTGGGAAACACTGCTCTACAGGATGTCTAAAGGCCACAACACAAAATCTAATTATATACTTTTATCTTATATATTTAATATTTTAAAATAGAATTAATTTTGAGAACATAAAATTATAAAAAAATATATTTATTATCTATTACTATATATTATTACAATGCAAATGTGGCATAGATTCATATGTACTGTACTCCAAAGCTTTACCATATACAGTGGAACCCCGGTTAACGAACGTCCTGGTTAACGACCAAATCGGTTAACGAACTTTTATTTTGAAAAAGTTTTGTCTCGGATAACGAACATAACAGTATTTTGTGTCAAATTTTAGTTGGTGTTAGGCATGCGCGAGTTAAGCATTGCTTTTCCGAGTGTTTGTGCTATACTTCTTTTTTTCAGTTTTGTGATTTATATATTTAATCAATATGGCATCCAAGAAAGAAAAAAGTCATACTGGCAACAGAAAACGACAACGCAATATAAACGACAATGCGCTATCACATTTGAGAAAAATTTTGATTAAAAGAGTAAGACAATCAACTTTAGATCAATTTCTTGTTCCTTATGGAAAGAGTTTGTTTGTTTGTTAAGTTATGGCAACACAACACTTGGGCGATCTGCCTAGGGGGGAATGCCTTCTGGGAGGTGTTTTTAAGGGAAACTGGC